ATGTGTGAAGCCCATTTCTGGTGTCCCCCGCCGTGATGTTGCTGGAATATTGCTAAAAGTGGCGTAAAACCAATCTCAGTCAGTATTCAATCACCGTCCATGTGGCCATCAGTCACTGCTGTAAAACAGTTCCTCATCATTCTATGTTCAAGCTGAAGTTGGTGTTCTTTGATCAACAAAATATTTACATGTGTTCGGAGTAAGTTGGTATAAATATCAGGTCGCATTTTGCAGCTTCAGGTTGCACCAGTGTAAGTTCTGAATGCTTAAATCGGTCCCTGCCTCAGTAGAAAAACGAGATATATATCATTATTTGTTTGAAATGGAGATTTTGTAACACATTCCTTTTTTGAAAATGTAAAACTGAAAGTATTTAACCTTTTCCTGTCAAATTATTCTATTATCAGCACAATAAAAAAATATATGCTTCTATAATGTCATACACTGAAACTAAACCCACATGAATTCTGATTCTTCTTATTCAATTTTCAGAATTCTTATTGACAGGCTCGGAGCGTATGTTTGAGGCTGAACATCTGCCTCTGATCAGGTTTCAATAAATCCATGTGTAATAATTACTGATATTTGAGCATTGGATGTTGATAAAATGATGATATTACCATGAAAACATTCTTTTCAAAATAATTGCAAAAGTATGCATGATTTAACCGATTTGTCAGAAAAATTAAATGGGAAACTGGTCAAATGGCTAATTGGTTCTTTGTATTGCAGCAGTTCAGAACATCGTGCCAGCAACAAATATTTCAATAAAAGCGCATTTGGTGCAATCTGTGCTTCACCATCAAATTTCAAACAATTGACTCAGTACTAGAGTGTAGTTCAACACTATCTTTAATAGCTTGTAAGAGGGACTAACGTGATCGGGTGCTCAGGCTCGATGACTTGTTTGACACATGTCATCATATCCCAATTGTGTAGGTCGATGATCATGCTGTTGATCACTGGATTGTCTGGTCCAGACTTCGATTATTTACACACCACCACCATATAGCTGGAATATTGCTCAGTGCGGCGTTAAACAACAAACCAGACAACCAACGAATTCAGCAATCTGAATTCCTCATTTAATAGTGAGAGAGTGAGTTTTTTTACTGCAATGCTAATCTGATCAGTGGTCACCATTTCACTTACACCATGGGGTGTCAAATAGATGTGGAAGTCCACAGTGATGCAGGGGGTCTTCGATATTTATCACTTTGGAGGAGTGAGTGAGTTTGGTTTTATGCTGCTTTTAGCAATATTGCAGCAATATCATGTTGGGGGACACCAGAAATGGGCTTCACACATTGTACCCATGTGGGGAAACGAACCCGGTTTTCGGCATGACAAGCGAATGCCTTAACCAATAGGCTACCCCACCGGCCCCACTTTGGCGGAGACCGCCTCCGTGGTGTAGTGGTTAGAGCGTCCGCCCGGAGAGCGGAAGGTCGCGGGTTCGATCCCTGACCGCGTCATACCAAAAGACGTTAAAATATGGTACTTGTTGGTCCCTGTCTGGCGTTCGGCATTAATGGGTACAACAAGGACTGGTCGGCTCGGAGTCAGTATAATGTGTCTGAGTGGGGTATTCATGCTTCACTGCGGCATGGTATCTCAGTGGGCTAGCACTATTAAACCAGCTTCAGTTTGAGCTAGTACAAGCAGCCACACATACACATACACACGCATGCACGTCCTCATATGACCGAAATATTCTCAAGCACGACGTTAAAACCCAATTTCACCTCACCTTCACTTTTGCGGACAAAATGAACATAGTAAGGGGGTCAAAAAGGACAAATCTGTGGATTCAAATCTTGACCACAAACACAAAACAAACCTTACCAGAACAAAACGGTTGACATGCCCCCCCCCCCTAAAATCCTCATCAACAACAACCCCCACACACACTAATTTGAGAATTTATCTGATTGTTCAATAGTACCATTGTTTTTCTACAACTGTTGCAGGTGTACAGGAGTACAGGAGAGTAAATGTTCACAGATGAGAGTCGGTACTGCATCTCTGACAAGCATATAGGACTCATCCTGTACAGCAAGAACAGACACCATCTGTCATATATAGTCCAAAGGTCATTTCTGGGTAGCAGTAAACTAACTAGATTTGAAGAGAAAAATGGTCCATTTAGATTTACACTGGTTCCAGACTAATTGACTAATGGCCATGTCTTACCCCACACAATGAATCATAGTGAATTAGATCATGGTTCAACCCGTGTCCCGATATAGTAGTACCAATTTGATTGAATGAGCTATCATTCAGTATTTCAGTTTAATGTCAAAGAGGCGTTTCCACCAATAGAATAAGGATCCTAATCAGGGTGACAACACCTACCCAACATGAGAACACAAGCTCTAGTTTTAGTCTGGTGAGATCACAGGCTGCAGTCACAGTATCACCTTGGCCATGTTTCTTTTTGTTTTGTTTTTTGTTAACGCTGCAGCAATATTCCAGCGATATGGCACTGGTCTGTAAATAGTCTGGACCAGACAATCCAGTGATCAACATCATGATCATTGATCTACACAATTAGGATATGCTGGCACGTGGGATACGATGACATGTGTCAACCAAGTCAGTGAGCCTGACCACTCGGTCCCGTTAGTCGCCTCTTATGACAATCATTGGTTGCTGAAGACCGATTCTAACTCGGATCTTCACGGGTATCTTTGGTCACAGAATGTCAGTCTTCAGAGGTTGTCATCCCTTCTTGTATCAACCTTTGACTCATTCGCCTTAAATGCCATTTTAGCTGCTGCTAATAATCACACATTGAATTTATGTAGAACAATGTTGAAATGAATCATGCTGATTTGTCCATTGCCCTGATGTTAAAAATAAGATTTAGGGTATCCCCAAAACAAATGATATAGATGTAGTTGGAAGCCTGAATGACTCACCACGCACCACCACTGAAAGTGTTTTATCATACAAATGACTTTACTATCATTTGTAGTGGTCTAGGTTTTACTGCAATACAGTACTGTATCGTGATACAAGATTCTTGATACAATATATCTGTATTGCTATACATATGTTACAGCTCTAATTATTTGCCTGCCATCTTATTGAAAGTTACTTAAATCAGTAAATATTAGATAAATGGTACACTGAACCCTGAATCAATTCCCCACCAATTCATCATAACCCCTGAATTTTGTTGATTAAACAATGATGATCAACTGTCCAAAAACTACACTGATCTAAATGCTCAACTGCTCAGTATAATAGGTGGTGCATGGTAGGAAGTGCCAATAATGTAACCGATTGTCATCCATAAAAACCTTGAAGGCTCTGAACTGGTGCATAAGCTGAAATCAGTGATGAAAACTCACAAAAATATTTTCAGATGTGAACCAAAAGCAGGGAGATAACTCTGCTCCCAGGTATCAAGTCTGTAAACCATCACCATCAATAACTGATGTTCAATCAGAATACATCAGTCAAAACTGTGTGAAGGAAATGATTATATCCTTGAGAGAGCACGATGGCTCCTGGCAACCAACAGTCACTATCTTATGATACAGTTATTGATTTTGGCTGTAAGTATTGAACCTGAGTAGAAGTGGCTGTGGTGAGACCTAAGCTTTGATGCTTCTTCTGCCAGTTATACCGAAGGGCTGTTGTCAGTTATTTGCTATTGTCACTCTACAGGGGCAGGCATTTCCTCATTACAGTATACAGATCCCTCAGCACGGTCCAGACCAGTCTCCTAGTACATAATACACAACTGCTTGGTGTATCAAATTTAAATATCTGATTGGCGTCTGCTGATTGTCTTCAGAATGACTTCCTGGCGTCTGTACATTATCTGTTGTTGTCTCTCTAGCACAATCAGCAATATATCACAGTACCGGTAATCAAATCTTTGCCAGGCACACCAATGTTTGACTGCAAAATCAACAATTTCAAGCGATTTGGGCACTCAGTACCAGCAAAGTCATCCAGGTCGATCATTGTCGCCATTTAAACCTCCTTAACATCAGCTTTTCCTGCAAGAATCAAGTACTGAAGATCTTATCCGTATAAGTATCGCTGTGGACAGTTACAGTCTGCAACCAGTCCATTTTAGGCAATAAACTGTCATTTTATTACTTGAGCTTTCACGACTTTGTTCACATTAACAAACCATAAAATAATGTCCTTCAATATCACCACACAATGATGGTGCATGATGAGTCAGTAGCTTGGCGTGTAGAAGTGATACACATAAAGGTGGGAAAGTTTTATGGATGTCAACTGCAGTATTATAAGGAACACAACATTTCAGCGTATATTCTTACTCCTTGTGCTGCCATATAGCTGGAATATGCTGAGTGTGGCGTAAAACTAAACTCACTCACTCTTGATTAGGTGTGATACCCGTACACATAATAGTGGATGAAAGAGTAAAAATACACTCTGAAACAGTTTCCCTTTAGGATCATCACTCCCAGATGCCACTTAGAAGGTGTGATACACATAACGGGGGAATGAATGAGGAAGAATACACAGCAAAACAACACATTCAACAGAAGCTGACATTCGTAACTCTATGTTTTCTGTATCATGTGCCAATGTTTTACCCACAGGTCGACGTCTCCATGCCAGACACACCTGTTAGTGATTGCAGCGTTTGCTCATCACGCCGAAGTGAGCGAGGGAGTTCAGTTTTACGCCACTTTTAGCAAAATTCCATCACGGCGGGACACCAGAAATGGGCTTCACACATTGTACCCATGTGGGGAATCGAATCCGGGTCTTCGGTGTGACGAGCGAACGCCATAACCACTTGGCCACCCCACCGCCCTTGTCACACCAAAGACCCGGGTTCGATTCCCCACATGGGTACAATGTGTGAAGCCCATTTCTGGTGTCCCCCACAGTGATATTGCTTGAATATTGTTAAAAGTGTAGAACCAAACTCACTCACTCCCAGACACACCTGATGCTGTAGAGGTGATCATGACAATTTTAGTAGAGGAAATGTGTTTCCTTACCTTCTGTAAAGCTGTTGTAGTCTGTTTTGTTAGCTGCCTTTGTGATGGACCCGATCATGGAAGTCCTCTTTCGATGTTTGCTACAAACAATCACTGACCTCTTGATTGCCTGGATAGCTGCCTCAATGTCACCCTGGGTACAAAACGTTACTGTAAAACATTGTCACTGATCTCACACAAAATCAAAATTTCATAAAACATGATGCCGAGTGAATAGAATGTATCAGTCCTATTTGTCCACCTGTGTAGCTGTATTTCCTTTATAAATGCCTGTTACCAGTCCACTAACAGCCATCACAACATCTCCCAACCAATCCATCCTTGTCCATTGCAATGACTTTATAAATACTTATGTTTCAAAGTCTCGAAAAACTTTGACTGTTCACATCTAAATGCATTACTAATCATTCTTATTTTAAAATAACCCAAGTAGTCAATCATTTCTACAAACACAATGTTTGCCTTGATGGGCATTTTAGAAGTTGGGATGATAAAGAATGATGATACTTTTTATGGATATACAACTTCTTTATTGTGAAAGGTGATGTTTTGACATATATTCTAATGGATTGACATCAACATTAGAATCTATGTCGAAATGTCACCTTTCACAATAAAGAAGTTGTATATCCATAAAAAGTATCACCATTCTTCAAACACAATGTTCCCTCAACTAAATCAGCAGCAGATGCACCTATCTTCTCCACTATTACCAGCTCACCAACACAATCATACCATCATCACACTGTTACCAGCTCACCAACACAATCATACAATCATCACACTGTTACCAGCTCACCCACACAATCATACCATCATCACACTGTTACCAGCTCACTCACACAATCATACCATCCATCCATCACACTGTTACCAGCTCACCAACACAATCATACCATCATCACACTGTTAACAGCTCACTCACACAATCATACCATCCATCCATCACACTGTTACCAGTTCACCCACACAATCATACCATCCATCCATCACACTGTTACCATCTCCTCAACACAATCATACCATCATCACACTGTTACCAGCTCACCAACACAATCATACCATCATCACACTGTTACCAGCTCACCAACACAATCATACCATCCATCCATCACACTGTTACCAGTTCACCAACACAATCATACCATCTATCCATCACACTGTTACCAGCTCACCAACACAATCATACCATCATCCAAACAACACAATCATACCATCATCCCACTGTTACCAGTTCACCCACACAATCATACCATCCATCCATCACACTGTTACCAGCTCACCAACACAATCATACCATCTATCCATCACACTGTTACCAGCTCACCCACACAATCATACCATCATTACAATGTTACCAGCTCACCAACACAATCATACCATCATCACACTGTTACCAGCTCACCAACATAATCATACCATCATCACACTGTTACCAGCTCACCAACACAAACATACCATCATCACACTGTTACCAGTTAACCCACACACTCATACCATCCATCCATCACAGTTACCAGCTCACCCACACAATCATACCATCCATCCATCACATACTGTTACCAGCTCACCAACACAATCATACCATCCATCCATCACACTGATACCAGCTCACCCACACAATCATACCATCCATCCATCACACTGTTACCAGTTCACCAACACAATCATACCATCCATCATCACACTGATACCAGCTCACCAACACAATCATACCATCATCACACTGTTACCAGCTCACCCACACAATCATACCATCCATCCATCACACTGATACCAGCTCACCCACACAATCATACCATCCATCCATCACACTGATACCAGCTCACCCACACAATCATACCATCCATCCATCACACTGTTACCAGCTCACCAACACAATCATACCATCATCACACTGTTACCAGTCCACCCACACAATCATACCATCCATCCAATCACACTGATACCAGCTCACCCACACAATCATACCATCCATCCATCACACTGTTACCAGTTCACCAACACAATCATACCATCCATCATCACACTGATACCAGCTCACCAACACAATCATACCATCATCACACTGTTACCAGCTCACCCACACAATCATACCATCCATCCATCACACTGATACCAGCTCACCCACACAATCATACCATCCATCCATCACACTGTTACCAGTTCACCAACACAATCATACCATCCATCATCACACTGATACCAGCTCACCAACACAATCATACCATCATCACACTGTTACCAGCTCACCAACATAATCATACCATCATCACACTGTTACCAGCTCACCAACACAAACATACCATCATCACACTGTTACCAGTTAACCCACACACTCATACCATCCATCCATCACAGTTACCAGCTCACCCACACAATCATACCATCCATCCATCACACTGTTACCAGCTCACCAACACAATCATACCATCCATCCATCACACTGATACCAGCTCACCCACACAATCATACCATCCATCCATCACACTGTTACCAGTTCACCAACACAATCATACCATCCATCATCACACTGATACCAGCTCACCAACACAATCATACCATCATCACACTGTTACCAGCTCACCAACACAATCATACCATCCATCCATCACACTGATACCAGCTCACCCACACAATCATACCATCCATCCATCACACTGTTACCAGCTCACCAACACAATCATACCATCCATCCATCACACTGTTACCAGCTCACCAACACAATCATACCATCATCACACTGTTACCAGTTCACCCACACAATCATACCATCCATCCATCACACTGATACCAGCTCACCCACACAATCATACCATCCATCCATCACACTGTTACCAGTTCACCAACACAATCATACCATCCATCATCACACTGATACCAGCTCACCAACACAATCATACCATCATCACACTGTTACCAGCTCACCCACACAATCATACCATCCATCCATCACACTGTTACCAGCTCACCCACACAATCATACCATCCATCCATCACACTGATACCAGCTCACCCACACAATCATACCATCCATCCATCACACTGTTACCAGCTCACTCACACAATCATACCATCATCCCACTGTTACCAGTTCACCCACACAATCATACCATCCATCCATCACACTGTTACCAGCTCACTCACACAATCATACCATCATCACACTGTTACCAGCTCACCAACACAATCATACCATCCATCCATCACACTGTTACCAGCTCACCAACACAATCATACCATCATCACACTGTTACCAGTTCACCCACACAATCATACCATCCATCCATCACACTGTTATCAGCTCACCAACTCAAAATCATACCATCATCACACTGTTATCAGCTCACCAACACAATCATACCATCATCACCCTGTTATCAGCTCACCCACACAATCATACTTTCCATCACACTGTTATCAGCTCACCCACACAATCATACTTTCCATCACACTGTTATCAGCTCACCAACTCAAAATCATACCCACCCATAATCTAGGCTATTGCCAGCCCACCCAGCTAATCACAGAGATAAGCACACACTTACCATGTCAAATGTCATAACTGCCTGTATGTACATGATAGTGCCATAGCCCAGGGCATGGTACATGCTGGTCTCAGCACTGAAATAACAACAGTTATATAACACATATCTTTCTTATTCCACAGTAACAACAGAATAATATCAATAACACCTATCGCAATTTCTACCAGTGTCTGTGAATATGACAGCAAAACTGCAAAGAATCATTCAAGAAACCTCTATCTGTTACATGCAAAGACATGACTCTTCTACCCTCAAGAGAGCACAGCTAGGGGCTGACATGAAGTATAGAAAGTATCCATAAATAACAACTACTACATGCTGTCAACATTATTAAAGTCATCCAAAATAATTAAAATACTACAACATGAAAGCGATACTTTTATAGTAAGTGACCTTTAAAGTGGCCATGACCTTCATCAATTCATCCCACAAGTCTGGTCCTGAAGTATCAAATTTTAACAGAGGAGCCTCAGTGAATGAGTAAGTTTCTCGCTGCTTTAAACAGCATTTCAGTCATATCAGAGCATGTCACTTACTGCAAGATGAAAGACAGAGTGATTGGGATCAACCCCAAGCACAGGTATAGTGTTTACACATCATGAACATAAGCAAGAGGTATCTGGGATTCAGAACACTGACATGGAATTCTGGCACCTCAAAGGGACAAAACTCTGCACAGTGAATTGTGGCACCAGAAATAGACTGTATATGAGAGAACCTGTATGATCTATTGCATGAACATGCATTATGAACTCACTGAGGTTGCATCCTCTCCTTCGCCTCTGTGAACTTGTTGTTGAGGAAGAGCTTGAGGGCGATCCCGACATCTTCCAGGCAGGCATTCAGGTTCAGATCACTTGCTGGGCTGGAATGCAAGAAACAAACCTGAGAAAACAAAAACATTAACTGCACAAACTTAATTTACCTTATTGCGGGGTCGATTCAAAATCTTAAAGGACTTATCCAGCTGGAGTGTTAAGTACTAAATAGAGGATGAGTAATGATACTTTATTGCGACATATTGGTTAGTGTTAGGAATTGGTTGAAATCTCACAATTGATGATTGCTTCATTACCAACGAGTCAATCATCGAAAAAATATGGTCATTTTTCAGATTTTCCTGTCCAGGTTGTTATTGCAGATATGAATAACATGATGCCACTTGCTATTTCAAAGTGATGACTAATATATCATGAACATAAACTTCCTGGAGTCTTAAAAAAATATTCAGTCATGGCTTTTCAGTTAGTGAAGTGAGTTTTCTAAGAATTAAACACATTTTCAGGCCTTGACAACTTCTAAGATATGTTCAATTGTCAAGTACTGCAAAGACTAAAACAGTAGTTCCAAAATCGTTTATGTTTGATTATGAGAAAATGTTATCAATTGCTTGGTAGTTTGGTCACTGCGACCAATCTTGGATTATTTCAATTAATCGGAACACCACTAATTTGGTACAGCTGAATGAACCGAAGGAAGCAGACAAGAACCATAGCGTTTTCATAGCTTCCTTTTCATTGCAATACAAAACAGCTACCATTGACTAAATGTCTTTGAAGACAGGCAAGTACAAGAATCCTATGAAAAACACACACGCATATAAAGTGAACAGTTCATGAAAGTATTACTTTTAACTGTCCAATTCAGCACAGATGAACCAACAGCATCTGTGTTAATCTGGAGGTACATGCAGTGCAAGCAGAATAAAGGACAAAGTTCAATGTTTGGCATACATTAACAAAATATTATTAAAATATATGAGACTCCAAAGACAAACGTCTGTTGGTGCAGGGTCCAATGTTTGTTTGCTTAGATTTGGAATATCTGTTTAGGCCAGACCAATTTTATTTCTTGTTTTATGGATTTTTGTCCTCAGAAAAGCTAAAGGCAGGAGGGAACAAAAATAAAAATAAAATCACCAGTCAAAGTAATATTCCTTCTAAATACTCGAAGTATTTTACTTTTGGCAATTTATGAAGTGTATATGGGGCAAAAAACAATCTAAAAACCATTTTCTTGTAAGTTTACATTTTTGGCCCACAAAAACATAAGGATTTTACTTTTTGAGAGGGGAAAATTAATTCATATTTTCTTTCTTATTCTTGAAAAAATATGACAGGCGGATCCGTAAAACAAGAAATAGAATAGGTCTGGCCTTAACATAAAAAACTATTCAGGAAAACAGATTTAGCAGTGATATTTCTGCCCCTGTCTTTGGTAAAGACAGCTTGGCATTGTGACTGAGAAAACACAACTGTTGTACCTCTTAATATTTGTATATGCATAATCGCAGTAAAACTTAAGGAGGTGATGAATGATGAATGGTTATGATTGCACTAATGATGGGCAAAACTGAAATTGTAACGCTTGATTAAAAATTGTTTCAAAATGATGGATACCAAATCAGGTCTAATGACAGCACCATCATTCTGTGTAAGGAACTGGGCAATGGCCTGGTAAATGTGTCTGGCTGGGACGGCAGATGTGTTTGTCAGGCTGAACCCTTGGAGAATGAACGAGGGAGAAAAGCCATGAATGCCAAGGATCCTTGGGTTCACTTGATTTTGAAATAGGGTCATGTCATATAAGTCTGTACTTTACTGGTCCAAAATAATATTTGTAGATTTACCTAGCTATCAATACAAAATTCACTGGGCACCAGGACCACTGCACACTTATCATTTAGTGGTCCTGATGAATATTTACTTGCCAGGGACCGCAGGAGCAGCATAAATTTCGCACACTGAAGTAGTGGTCCCCTTGATGTCATTATAACCAGAGTTTACAGTCTCTGTATCATTCAGGCTAACATCTACGCAGAAATTCATTCACAAATGATATTTCCCATTAAAATGATTGACAAAATGGAATATTTCATACATTTTTTATCTCACGTAGTAATACTCCCTGTATCCATGACTACAAAATGGTGGTGACTCACTGGTGACTGACCATCCTGAGTAGCATTTGAGTAAGTAGAAAATAGGATCTGCAAGTACAATCAGTGTCAATTACTGTCGACCAGTAAAGCTCCAGATACATTATCAGTACACTACATGTGCCAGTACAGATATTTGCATGGCAATATAGTGCAATGGAATTCCTCGGCCAATACCCAATCCTAGTGAACAGTGATGAAGTGCAGATATTCCTAGACTGGTAACTTTCAGACAGGACTACAGAAACCCAACAGTCCCTATACATCTGGATCACAACAAACTGGGTTAATCTTGGGACTTCATTTTCGAACCAATTCTCTCAATTACATGAGTTCATTCTTTTACACGTAACATGCTAAAAAAGGTAAAAAACTATCTTAACCTATAATTTGATACCTGTTCAAATGGCAGGACCACTCATACCTGCACAAATCTAATCATAAAACACTATCATCCCCTATCGATCGAACAGAAAGCAATTACTTATATAGATTAAACCCCACTACAGCTACTCTGCTAGTCCAACGAAAAACACTGGTGCCCAATTTCCTATTTGAAAGACGTCGCTTCTACCACCAAGTGAAGACATTAGCTCCAGGCACCGACAGACTACCTCCAGGATGAGACACAATCTCCTGGCTAATGACCAGCCAATCACTGTGATTACGTGCTATAAAGAAGGACTTGCTGACAGCACTCTTATTTGCAACCTCAATTACAGAGCAAGATTATCACTCTGTGTAATGATCAATCGTCTATTTGAAATTAGCTGATGGACTTATTCCCTTAGAAGGCATTATCCTACAGATTACCACATTAAATGGAATAAGAGCACTAACCACTCATCAACCTGGATTAGGGAGAACTTATAAAGTAATGCTGAAGCTAGTGAGTCAGCAGGGAGTGAGGGGAACATGGAGCATTATCTTACCTCACACATAAATGTCGCTTTCTGATTGGCTGAGCACTCTTCTATTATTTTCTATGTACCCCGCTGTCAATGGCAACTCATTTGGTACTTCGTGGTAGTAATTCTGTATCACGAATAACATCGAATCCCGTATGATGTACGGAAATTACCGTTGTTTTGCAAATGCAAATCGATGGAAGGGAGATAACTCTAAATCTGTTTTTCTTGTCAGCAAAATCTAGTGATGGCTACAAAAAGATTTGTACCCGTGCTTCAAACAATTCAAAATTAACATTAAGGTGTTCGGTAAGATAAATATGTTGTTCACTGTTCCCTTGGGGCCCATGGGTTGATGTACCTTCGATGTTTGTTTATGTTCCCTGAGCCCGAATGGGTACATCAACCCATGCCCGCCTCGTGACCAGTGAACAATGTGTTCTTGCAGATACTACAGATAAGTATTGCCTGAGATTTAACAATATGATACAGATTATGATACAGAATGATGACACCATAGGTGCTGATACAGCACAACATCTAGTCTGTCTCACATTATTTTTCCCAATGCTTAGCCCTCCCTGCAATACTAAAGCCCCAAATGAAGCAAGTCTAGATTTCCTCAGGTTCTCTTGTCTCACTGGGGCTCCTTTTCAATCTAAATGGGCTTGTTTGTTACTATTAAACTTACATATATTCAGGGACTAAACATTAGTCTATACAACATCATGTATTGTTCATATGTTGTCATGCTACCATTGTAAAGGGGCGGTGGGGTAGCCTAGTGGTCAAAGCGTTCGCTCATCAGGCTGAAGGCCCGGGTTCAATTCCCCACATGGGTACAATGTGTGAAGCCCATTTCTGGTGTCCCCCGCCGAGATATTGCTTGAATAATGCTAAAAGCCGTGTGAAACCAATCTCACTCACTCACTCATGCTACTAAATTAAGACATGAATGTTTGACACAATTTGTACAGAACCATCATTCTGTTGAGGACAGAATCTTACCACTAAGACTTTCACAACTCCCACACTTTAACTTGAACTTACAACAGACCCTGATTCATCACCATAACTAAGCCATGTTTGACCCAGATTCTAATGACACAACACTAAACAGTCAAACTTGTCAAACTCCAACTTTGCCTCCAACTTACCACCACACCTTCATGATCCACCTTTTTTACAGGTGGCAGTATGCTATTTCCCCCATTACAACACTATTTATGACAATTATCACCAATTCAGTTGATAATTGATATTTCAAGTATTACCTATACCTAAGTAGAGATGACATGATGTATTGTAACCTTGCACCTACCCATCTTAAGTATAGTGGGTTACATATGCTAGTAGCAGGCTGTAGTGAGTGAGTGAGTGAGTTTAGTTTTACGCCAAACTCAGCAATATTCCAGCTATATGGCGGCGGTCTGTAAATAATCGAGTCTGGACCAGGCAATCCTGTGATCAACAGCATGAGCATCGATCTGCGCAATTGGGAACTGATGACATGCGTCAACAATTTCAACGAGCCTGACCACCCGATCCCGTTAGTCGCCTCTTACAACAAGCATGGGTTACTGAAGATCAATTCTAACCCGGAGCTGAGTGAGTGAGTTTAGTTTTACACCACTTTTAGCAATATTCCAGCAATATCAGAAATAGGCTTCACATATTGTACCCATGTGGGGAATCGACCCGGGACTTCAGTGTGACAAGCAAACGCTTTAACCATTAGGCTACCCCACTGCCCTGCAGGGTGTAAGGGATACTACCAGGATAACCAGCTGAAAGGCCTCAGGTACTGAATAATGCGGACCAAAGTTACAGTAATCTGCAACTGCCAGTTGTCTTGTGGTCTGAGTTGGCCACGATTAAGACCCCATCGCAGGGGGTCGTCTTATGTACGAAACTTATCATTTTGATGCTGATTTGAAAGGTCAAGTTAGGGGGTCCACTTATATATGAGATCGGCTTACTTACAGTAATATACGGTACACAAGATTGTTCTGTAGGGCT